GTCACCTCACTATGCATGTCCTGAAGTGATACGGGTAAGAAACGATGTTTGCTTTCAACGGTATATGTGCTGTTTCACTCATAGTTTAAAAATTATAAGCCTTCCTCCTCTTCTTTTTCCTCTTCCTCTTCTTTATTCTCTTCATCTTCTTCTTCTCCTCCTCCTCTCCTCTTCCTCGTCCTCCTTCTGTATCTTTTTTTTTCTTTTTCTACCTCCCCTTTCTCACCCTCCTTCTCTTCTCTTTTCTACTCCGTCTTCTTCGTCTACTCTCTTCTTTTTTTTTTCCTCCTCATCCCCTCATCTTCCTCTCCTCCTCTTTTTCCCTCTCATACCTTTTCTTGTTTCCCCTCCTCTGCCCCCTCTTCTTTCTCTTCCTCTTCTTTTCTACTTTTTCTTTCTTCCTCTTCTACCTTCCTCTCTGCTTCCCTCTCTTCTCTTATTTTTCTGACCCTCGAGTTAACAGTCTTACAGTGAGGTGTAAGCATGTATTATAGTATAGAAATGCTATTTTCGACATATTTTGATAACTACAATGTTTCAAGCATGCATTACAGTGTTGTGGTGCTATAGATATCTATATGCAGTTTAAACATGGCTTTGGTACTACGGTTAAACTGTTTAGACCAGATAACTGAGGAAGGATGACTTAACAACCAGAATACCTGCATCAAAACAAAATGTGCATGATATCGAAAACCAACAATTTGTTTATAACGTGAATCCGACAGGGATCTTCTCAAACAAAAACAACGGTGTAGCATTACTTGTTTAACGCCCAGTCCAAAACTATTTCCCCAAAAACTTTATCTACAACCATATTTATCATGCAGACAGACAGAAGTTTGGGAAATCCCAGGATGTTACCAACGTAGTCTATGCGCCTAAGGCAATAGGGCTGTGAGAATGTAGAGTGTTGTTATGTGTAGTTAGGATCGATTAGTTTATGAAACACTTTTGTGCGTATAACGTCAAGCACGGACCGGGATACTGATGTAACAAGGTGTAAAGAATTAGAAGATATTTACGTTTGGTCTGCTTTTTTTATATCCTACCCCGAGCTGGAAACCAGCAGGTCGCGAGACAGTCTAATATTTCCGGGGTTGGTAGATAGGCTGCATGCAGTCGTGGTACCTAGCCTGCATTCTCTCGAGGGACGTAGGTGGGTTTGGGTTAGCGCTAGTTCTAGATGTTTTGGGGTCATTGAAATCATCATAAACATGGAAATCCAGTTTTACTACCCTCTAAGATGTTGGACTGTCCTGTAACGTCATCTGGGAGAATATATTAATAAAGAACCACGTTTTGAAATCCTGAGAGTACGGCGGCGCGCCACAACCAGAACTCAAGACCTGTCAAACATTGTCTACATCTCTCCGCGATCATTCTAGAAACATATTCTACAGGGCCCTGGCCAAAGCAGAATGGATGGAGTTTCCTGTGAAGTCGGAGTGCGTCTGTCTGGGTGGGGGAGGGGGGGGGGGTGAGGCGGGGTGGCGAGAAGCCAACTGTCTGCACACAAATTTAGGCTAGATCTGAAAATAGATGTGCGCCTTAAACTCACGGCGTAGAACAAGGTCGAAATCAAAACCTGGACAAACAGCGAGGACGTTTATAGGCAGCGATTGCAGAAAGGGGGAGGAGAGGAGCAGAAGAAGACGACGAAGAAGAAGATGATGATGATGATGATGACGAAGAAAAAGAAGGAGGAAAAGGGGAGAGAAGAACAAGAAGAAGAAGAAGAAGAAGAAGAACGAACGAACGAACGAACGAACCAACTTTATTTTTAAAGAAAAAGAAGAAGAAAAGAAGAAGAGAAGAAGAAGAAGAAGAAGAAGAAGAAGAAGAAGAAGAAGAAGAAGAAGAAGAAGAAGAAGAAGAAGAAGAAGAAGAAGAAGAAGAAGAAGAAGAAGAAGAAGAAGAAGAATAAGAAGAAGAAAAGAAGAAGAAGAAGAAGAAGAAGAAGAAGAAGAAGAAGAAGAAGAAGAAGAAGAAGAAGAAGAAGAAGAAGAAGAAGAAGAAGAAGAAGAAGAAGAAGAAGAAGAAAAAGAATAAGAATAATAATAAGAAGGAGAAGAAGGAGAAGAAGAAGAAGAACGAACGAACAAACTTTATTTGTAAAGGTTTAAGAATTGGGCACGCAGGCCCGTCTAACATTCTGCCCTTCGAGATCTCCCTCCGTTCTTACATCATTCCATTCACACATCAAGTAATATTAAAAGTTAGCAATAGCATCAAAATAATCAATACAAGCACTGGAATGTGCACATTTCTAACTACAGTAAAACATAGTAGTTGTAACAAATGTAGGGAAAATGTGGGCTATTTTTTACAGAAGAAGAAGAAGAAGAAGAAGAAGAAGAAGAAGAAGAAGAAGAAGAAGAAGAAGAAGAAGAAGAAGAAGAAGAAGAAGAAGAAGAAGAAGAAAAAGAAGAAGAAGAAGAAGAAGAAGAAGAAGAAGAAGAAGAAGAAGAAGAAAAAGAAGAAGAAGAAGAAGAAGAAG